GGCTGGCACGGCGGCCTCAGGGTCCCCACCACGAGCGCCGGGCCCTGGCACCCGGCTGCGGCCCCCCCGGCCTGTGTGGCCACAGCTGGGGTCCCCGGGCCACACTGCTGCCCCAGCCCGGGGCCTGGCTCCCCTGCCTGCTCCAGGCCCGGCCCGGTGCAGACACTCCCTGCCTCGGCCCCTCTGCCGGCAGCTGTGACCAGGACCTGGCTTACGCCGAGGGTGCTGTGGGTGGCAAGAAGGGGCCAGGGTTGACGCTGGCATGGGGAGGGGGCCGCCCCGCCCAGCGCTCGGGGCTCTTCCCAGTGGGAGCTGGGGGCAGTCGGCTGCTGCTACCAGGGCTCCACGGACGGGGGTCCCCCGGAGCAGCCTCAGCTTCAGCGCAGCAGCGCTTGCCCTTGCAGAAGTCGTCAGGGAGGCTCCAGCCCCAGAGCGAGTGGCCGCCGTGCCCATCCCGGTGCCTGGGCCAGGCGAGGAGGTCCAGGCCGAGGAGCAGGGCGGGATCCCCATCCCCAGCTCCGGCCTGCTGCAGGTGGCTGAGAGGAGACGTGAGTATGAGCCCCCAGCCCGAAAGCAAGAGGGGCTTTGCCCTCTGCCCTTCTCCGAGAGGGGCTCCTGCGTGCCCCGGTGCCGGCCCCCGGCCGCGGGAGCCTGGCTGGGGGGTGGCGGGGGCCACACTGGCCTGTACCTGAGCCGGGCGCCCTCCGCAGAGCCGCTGAGCAGCGTGTCCTCGCTGGAGGTGCACTTCGACCTGCTGGACCTGACCGAGCTGACGGACATGTCGGACCAGGAGCTCGCTGAGGTCTTTGCCGACTCCGACGACGAGAACGTAGCCGAGTCCCCTGGTGGTGAGCGCGCCGGGCGGGGAGCGGGGCTGACACACACACACGTGTGCACACGACTGCACATCCACTCTTACATGCACCCGCTCATACAGCCACACGAGTGACTGCACTTACGTGCACATGCACGCACTCATGCACACGCATGCATGCAGGCACATACATACACATGCACGTTAGCGCACACACTCAGACATGCACGCACACACACCTGCACACGTGCATCTGGCCACATGCCCCTGCTTACGCTTCCCAGCTGGCAGGGCGGGGGCCCTTGACCCACAGCTGGAGGGGCAGCCCCTTCGCCCGCAGAAGGCACAGGGCCGCTGCAGCAACGTCTCTGCCAGCGCTTCCCCGGGGAGACCCCAATGGCACAGGGGGCACGGAGGTGCTGTGCCCTGGTGCCCGGCCCCACGCCCTGCTCTGGCTGCTCCCCATGCAGAGGGTCCCTGGCCCGGCCCCTGCAGCCAGGGGCTTGCATCAGCTGCAGCCCTGGGGCAGATGCAGGGGCTGCGGTTCCCATGCTCGGGGACTGTGGGCCTGGCACCAGGTAGGCTGGGGGTTGAGCTCACCTGTCCCTTCCGGCACTAATTCCCAGCCAGCTGGGCCTAGCCGGGCACTGGGGCCACGGCGGGAGGAAAAGCAGCTTCCCCTGGGCAATGCCCACGGGGCCAGAGCCAGGACAGAGGCAAGGGCAAAGCACCCCCCGTGCCACAGGCGCCTAGGGCTGCCCCTGCCCCATCCCTTTGCTGGGGGCGCAGTCCAGAGCCTGGCAAAGCTGGGCTCCCACACTGCACGCAGGGGTGTGCGCCGGCCCCGCTGCCGGGGCATCTCGGGCCAGGGGCCGGCAGCACCGACGCGGGCGTCTCCCGCAGGGCTGCAGCCGCACACGCTCCCGCGGGCCGGGTACCTGCGCTCCCCGTCCTGGACGCGCGGCAAGGCGGAGCAGGGCCGGGACAAGAAGCACCTCGGCGACTCGGAGCTGCAGGCTGGCGAGGCCGACACCTTCCTGACCGTGGAGCGGCCCCAGGACGCGTGAGGCCGGGCTGGAGCCCGGTGACTCCCGCAGCCGCGCGGGCGCTGCATTGCCCTGGTCCGGCCAGGCCCGAGCGCAGGTCACGATGACGTGTTTGTTGGCGCTTTCTACCCCTCTGCTGCCCGTTCTGCTCGCACCGGGTAGGGCACGAGCAGGAGAGGAGCGCGGCCCCGGTGCCGGCCACGGGAGAGACCTCGGAGGGATGCGAGGGCAGCTGGGTCCCAGCTCAGCTCTCCGTGAGCACGCTCCTGGGCTGGGACCAGCGCATGGCACCAGAGCTGCCCCTGGAGCCTCGGCCCAGGGGAAGGGTGGCACCGGGGCATCCTGGCGGCTGGACTCCAGCCACCCCTCGGTCCCAGGGCTGGGCGCTCTCCCACCAGCTCCAGGCCCCTCGCGCTGTCCCTCGCCGGACATACGCCCGTCCCCCCTTACTCAGAGCACCAAATAATGCCAACGCTGCCTCCAGAGCCGCGGCGACGTTCTTCCAGGCTGGGTGGAGCAGGCCCGGCTGCTTCTCCATCTCCAGGCCTGGGGCTTGGCTGCTGTAGCTCTGGTCCCTGCTGCCGCTGGGTCCCGCTGGGCGCTGAGCCTGGCACGAGGTGCCAGCTGGTGCAGAGCAGGCCCCAGCCAGGCGCCATCCGGTCCGCGCCCCAGGCCGCGCAGGCGACTGGCAGCTGAGACGAGCCGTGCCAAGTGCCACCAGCTTCCACCTCCGCTCCCGACAGTGGTGGCCAGCGCTCTGCATGGCTCTGAAGCCCCACGGCACCCGCCGGGCTTCATCCGCTGCCAGGGACCTGTTCCTGAGAGCCGGGAGCCTCCTGCGATGGCCTCCGCGCGGGCCCCGGCGCCAGCCCGTCACTGCCCAGCACGACGGACTCCCGCGGTTTTTATCTCGGCCTCGAGGCAGCTACGGGCAGGCCGCGGCCTGCCAGACCCCCGCCTCGAACTGTACCCTCCATCCGTCATGTAGCAGCTTCCTGTACCTGTAGGTAAAGGTGTGCACCTGGCTGCACCCGCGTGCTGTCCTTGGCGCCGTTTGCAGCCTGCGGTGCCAATGCCAGCAGCAGGAGCCCGTCTGCTCTTGGCATCAAGCTGGAGCAGGGCTGAGCTCTCGTGACGCTGGAGCACGGCGGGCAGCGTTGCTCCCCCGGCCGTTGGGGTCTGAGAGCAGGCTCCCCAGGGAGAACCGGACAGCCCTGCAACCCAGGATCAGAGCTGGCACACGGGCAATCTGGCATCGCTGCCGCCCCCTCCCCTCTCACCGCCCAGGGAAGCGCAGGTGCACGCCGTGTCCCCCCGTGCGGGGGCTCCGTTTATTGGCTGGTGCCCAGCCCAAGCCAGGTGCCCGGCTGCCCATGTAGAGTTCTGCATGACCAGAGACCGTACCAGGGGCCACGTCTTTGTGCTCTGCGCCCTCCCGCTCGCTCTGCTCCCGCAGCGAGGACGTGCCAGAAAATATGTTAAATAAATACAGCCCCCCCGAGAGCTGCACTGGCAGCCTCGCCTGGGTCCTGTGGGAGTGCTGCAGGTGCAGAGAGGGAGGCAAGCCCGGGCGAGGCTCTGCAAGCGCCACAGCACGGTCTCAGCTGGCGGCAGCACGCAGGCACCAGCACCCCACCATGGGCTGGGGCAGGCCAGCCACCACCAGAGCTGAGAGCAGCAAGGCAGGGGAGGCACAGGCCCCCGTCAGACGCTGGCCTCCCTCGAGCTCTGGGGGCAGGCTGGTGTCTCCTGGTGTGTCCCCTGCCCGGGGGTGCTGGTGCAGTTCTGCCCAGGAGCCCCCCAGGGCAGCCTGCGTGGGGGCTGCTGGCGAGAGGTGCGCGCCAGCAGGGGAGTGCACGGCCAGGGACAACCTGCCTCGGCACCTGCAAGCACAGAGCAACGTGCCTGGCACCCGCACGGGCTGGGCTCCTGCTGGGTGCTCCCAGGAGTGCTCCCAGCCTCTCAGGCCCTCTGGGAGGGTCGTGCCCTCCTGCCAGCTCCTGGTGCCCTCCACGAGCTCCGCGTAGGTGGACTTCTCGGCGCAGGGCTGAAGGCTCAGCAGCACGTCCGCCTTCCCCAGCAGCTGCTTCCTGGTCTGCTGGGAGCGAGTGGGGCAGACGTCTTGGGACAGGGCAGGGAGCAAGGCATATGTCCCATGAGTGGCCTGCAGCTCTCAGCCCCTCGCCGCCGGAGTGAACCTGGCTGCTACGGAGGCAGCAGAGGCCCTGCCCACCCCAGCCCTGCTCCCGTACCCTCTGCACCTGGTCATGGTGCCGCGCCAGCTGCCCCAGCGCCCTCTCGTAGGTGCAGGTGATCAGGCTCCAGACCTCCTCGTCGACGACCTCGGCTGCGGCCTTGCTATACGGCTTGTCCGCCAGCAGCTCATCCTGCTGCGGGTGCCTGAAGGACACGTGGCCCAGCCTGTCGCTCCTCCTGCACTGCATGAGCTGGAAGAGCGCACGGGCGCGCTGAGCCGGCCCTGTCCCTGCAGCTGGAGAGTGCTGGGGGGTGACCCTGCCCCACTGGGCCATACCTGGGCATGGGCATCCTGTGTCACCTTCCTCAGGTCGCCTTCCTGGGCACCTGTGGCGATGTGGCCACCCAGCATCATGCACATGTGGTTGAAGAGCTGCTTGTGGCTGTAGACGAGCTTTTCCTGCAGCAGGTACCACGTGTAGCCCAGTCCCTTCCCCTGTGGGGCGCATGGACAGTGGGCTGCTTCGGGGCGGCTCCGGGGGGCTGGCGCCTGCAGCTTGCTGAGGTGTGGATGGGGAAGCTGGCCTGTCCACCCCCTGCCCACAGCAGATGTCAGAGTGAGTGCAAGGGCTTGGCTGCACAGTGCGATTGAGCCAGCCAGGAGACATGGGTGCTGATGCCCAGCCCTGTCTGCCCACCTAGGGGGGCAGGAGCGGGACTGGAAGCTTTCAGCCTGCCTGGGGGAGACCCAGGGCACAGACCCCAAGCTGCAGTGGGGGCAGGAAGGGCAGATGCGAGACGAACCTTGCGCAGGGTGTCGGCATGCTCTGGGAACCAGCCCGCAACGGCGTGCCCAGCCTCGTGGTAGCCACCGTGGTCTTCTCGCCCGGCTGCAGAGCTCGGGTTTTCTTCTCCAGATCTGACAGAGGGTAGGAGGGGGGGTCAGCAGTGCTCGCAGGGCAGGGGGCCCTGGGGAGGCTGAGCAGTGGAGACTGAAGCCCCCAGGGCCATGGCACGTGCAGGGAGCCTGGGGGAGGGGGTGCAGTCCCACAGCCTGGCCACGCTGCAGCCCCTGGGCATGCTGCGCTCTGCCTGGCTCCCCAGCCCTGGCGCTGCAGCCGTGGTGTCTCATCCCGGTGGGGCCTCGACCCCCCTGGGAGCCCAGCACCAGGGAGGTGCTGGGGGAGCTCTGCTGATGCCCCTGGGGGAACACGCTCAGCACAGCATGCTCGGGAAAGGGAGGGGAGCAGCTGCAAAGCCCTGCTTAGGGGGGCTTACCCACCTCCCCAGCAAGGGGGAAGGGCAGCAGGACCCCCCAGGGACAGGAGAGGTGCACTCACATCTGCCCGTGCTCTTCCCCCCGGCTCCTTGGTGGGGAGCCTGGGAGGAGAGGCAGGGCCCCAGATCAGCACTCAGCAGCCTCCCCGGGGATGGGAGACGTGGTCTTCACAAGGTGCGGGCTGCTCCAGCCCCTGGGCTCTGCCTGGCAATGCAGCAGACGACAGCTGCCCCCACCCTCGCCCCCCCCAGAGAGCGGTGCAAGGCTCGCCCCCGGTGACTCTTGAGCAAAGTGCTTCGAGTGCACACAGCGACTCCGGCGATGCGCGGCGATGAGGCCGGCCTCGTTGCAGACCTCGGAGATGTCAGTGCCTGGGGTGGGCGGGGGACGACCGGGCAGTCAGGCATCTCCGTGTCCCTGCTATGGGGGTTCTCCCAAGGCTTCGCTCCTCCCGCCCAA